TTCTTGAATTAAATGTTGCTTGTTATACAATATTTGCAGAGTATAAAATCTGTTTACATTAGTCACGACATACAAAAACTAACGCCCATTACCCAGAGGGGTAGGCAGAGATAATACATAGACTAAATAGAAATAATACAATTGACCATGTCAAATGGAAATTTAAAAATAAGACCAATTTCTTATGAAATATTGAAAGAAGTTCCAATTTCAAATAATACCATTAACAAATAAAAGTAAAATAAAAAAAACAATGGATATAATAAGCAATAAGTAGACCAAATGTATGCAATATTTTCTTTACCTAGTGAACTACACATAACAATGCTCACAGATGGCAGCACTAGTGATGTACACAAACATTATTGTCGACTACATTTCACCTCGACACAACTATTTCCAGCTGATGGTGTAATGACGCCGATAATCTCATTAGTGATGTCGCTGACAATATCGATTCTACTAGTTTAAAAAAAATAACTTTTTAAATTTCATAAAGTTATAAATACTGTTAAATTATAGTTAATGACAATTTATGTTTATGTATATATATATTAATTTTATTATACAATTCTTTACATAACAAATTAAATATCGGTTAAACAGTAGTACTAAAAACCCACAGGGTTTAGATGTACTTACTGGTCGCTTATTAATTTATAAGATCAGCAAATTAACAAATACAGACTTTATTAACCATTTCAAAATTATATTAAACAAAAAGAACAGAGATTAAACGGTTTTTTCAGACCATAATAGAAAGACAAAAAAAGCGAGACAAAAAATAGATGTATAAAACGATTAAGTCGCAATAAATATAAGTTGTTTATTTAAAAGTGCCTATTTCATAATTCTTTTACATTTTTCTGGTTTCTTAACGATTTGGTCAAGTACGGCGCTTACCAGATCGTAGAGCAGCTGCGGCAGGAGATACTCCCAAGTTCACATACCATAGGCATTATTATAAGTCAGTAATTTATATGAGAAAAAGAATAACAAAAGAAGCACAAACACAACAATTGAAATGAATTCGGCAGAGGAAGAGAGCCTTTGGAAGGGGAAACATTTTCATTTTGTGCATCGCTTTGCTATTTCGGCAAATCCAGGTGGAGGCTTACTGGTTTAACTTATAAAGAAACTACTAAGATGCACAAATACATATAAGCCTATTGTTTCTTGTGAGTTTACCTGAGTCACATATTTATCAAACGTTAATAGTAACAAAGTATTAAAAAGAGGCGATATATTGTAATCAATTTCCGCGAACATGATATATCGTCCCATCACTATTGAACAAAACACCATACATTCCATTCAATACTCTTACAATGCGCACGCGCAGTCTTTATAATTCGGCTCAGTTCAACACAGCTGCTACTAATATTATTTATCCTTGTAACCATAACGGGAATATTAACTAAGTTAATTAAATAAATTATATGTAATGTAGGCCAAGGGTAGTCAATAATCCCAGATATTTAATCTTACTAATATTATAAATCAGAATGTTTGCTTGTATGTCTATTACTAGGTATCTCCAGAACGACTTAAGGATCTTGCTGATATTTGGCATAGATGTAGAACATAGAATGGATGGAAACATAAACTATTTCTTTTTAATTTCGCGCCGACGTTGTCGCATAAGCTAGTTATATATAACCATTGTTTTTTTTTATAATTTGTTAAAAATGTCAAAAAAGTTTTAATAACATCACCAGCTTCAACAAACTAAACCTAGTAGTCTCAGAGTTACTGAGGAATGGCCTCTGAGAGGCTCCAAAATAGTCGGTACAACCACCAAACTACGCGTGACTTCAGCCATTAATATTTAGCTTACGAAAGCTAATTAATAGCTTGTAATTAAACACGGATACAGGACATACGAACGTTAATTATAATTTATATATTGATTCCTATAAAACCAATGACAGTGATATGTTTCCATCGAATGCGGATGCAATGTTCGACCTCGTGCGAACAAAGACTACCACAGGCTTTGTGTTGAACAGAACTGTGACATTATAACCATAAGGTTGAACACTTACTGCCACTCAGAATCGTTAACGGTTTCTTAAACAGTAACTTGGAGTACAATTATCTTACTACTTCAAATATAATGCAATCATGTTGACTATAAAGCGACTGTGTGTTCAGTTATTCTTTGATGAAACCTAATTTACTGATGGTTTCTGTGCCCAATCTGTTATTATTCT